TCGCTGGGTCAAAATCTCAGAACTCCCCCTCCAACAGTATGCAGTGTACCACAACACCAGATAAGCTGTGTACGAGTGTAAGGCAATAGCTAACTACCATCAATTTAAGAGCAAATACAGATGAGCAACAAATGTCAGCCTTGCCTACAATACTCACACCATATGACAGAATTTTTTTAAAAAACTGGTGCATGAAGTTGCTTACCTCAGTTGTTACAACAGTGAGTTACGTAGCAAGTTACCAACACTTACCCCAGATGATACGCATAATTGGATAACCTATTACAAAATCCAAACTACAGCATGTTACTCAAACTGTCATTTGCAAGCTGCCATCCAAATATAGAGACTGCCCTTACATTTTACAAACTTCTACCATCTGGCACCATTTAGCGCTACAGATATCGTAAGCTGAGAATTGTGTTTAATTATGGATGAGATGAAAGATTTATAAAAGCTAGAATGTAGCATCATAACACTTCAGACAACTCAATATCAACAGTGCCTCAACAGATAACAATTGGTTAACTGTGGGCCTGAACTATTAAACTTTCCACACATAACCAGAAAGTCAGAGACACTCACATGCCATTCCTGTATTTTGAATTAATGCCATCTATAGTGAAGGTTAGTATATTGAAGGTTGGACAAACAAATCAATTTTTTTCCCATCTTGTCCTTCAATCATTTCACTTGAATTCCAGAAGAGTGCTGGTAGGTGTATTTGTTTTGTTTCTGTGGTGTAGACTTCTGGTCTTTCCTGCCAGATTGCACATCAAAAACAACTTGCCATTATGTTAACGTTTACTCATGAATAAAGAAACCAATAAAAGTTTGCATATCTATGGAGATAAGCAAATCATAAATAATTGTTTAACTGGGCAAAAACAAAACACTTCAAATAAAGTCTTTTTTTCTAAAAGTTTGATACTGATTCTGCTACTACCTATCAAGTTTTTAAAATAAGTAAAAGTTGTAACAATCCCCTTCTTCATGCATGTTATTCTTGGTCTTTGTTTGATCTAGATCTAGTCTAATAAGCCTAGTATAGTGTTATGGTTCCTGGGCCCCCTACTGGTGTTGCTTACAGCTGATCAAGTTCCTGCTTTTATGGTAAATTATATAGGGCATGCAGAAAACTTGCTGACTGTAGAGAAGCAAATCTGATCCTGCAGAACTATAACACAGGTTTATACTTTGGCTAAACTGTTCTCTTAGTATTTCCTGTTTATGTCAGTGAGATACCAGGGGTCACTTCTGTGCAGGACGTACCTTGTGCCATCTTTAAAACATTAATCCATTCCATCTCAGCTCAGCTGAAGTGTGATCCAGCTTTAAATAGCAATGCAATCAATTTTGTTTCTCAAAGTAAATGACCTCAATGAAGAAAATTGATGCATAATATTTTATTAAGCAGTAGACATTCTGGTTGCCAGTGTAGTTACTAAGCCACTAGGGTTATACATATGCTACTGAGTTGACTAGTAAACAATCTCCCAAGGGAGAATTTACACTGTATTGTAATAGTTGTGTCAGTACTCTTTGACCAACCTAGATAAACAGCATAAAATACACTGAGTTATATAAAATGTATGTAGTTTTTTTTAAAGTAGCTGCTATTGTAAGATCGCTTTAGAACTTCACTATCATATCTTGTGTCCTACTACATTTCAATGACTCATCATGCCAGTGATCACCACTGGCTTCCTGTTGCAGGCATACATAAATCAAAATCCTTATTTTTATTAGAAATCATTACTGCACTCTTCAACAGCACCCATTGAGTCTACGCATTCTCACTAGCCGATACAACCTAAAAATCTGTTCTAAAAACCTTCCACTTAGACACATCTCTTCACTCAACAGCTCCTCAGATTCTTACTTAACTGCACAGTTGTCACCTTACATCCATTTCCTTTGCCTATATCTAAGATTCCATTATCTCCTGTTTACATCTTAGTATATGAAATGTACTGTATTAAGAGGGCCTATTATTCTCAATGTTAGCTGTTTGGGAATAAATCAAATTTGGTGCTGTTCACTCATTCTCACACAATTTTTCACAACTAGACGAATGATAGAAGCTAGCTGGCTTGTCAAGGTTATGAAAAGGAAAGTGAAATCTTTATAATTTTAATGTTGCTGTGAAATTAAGCTGCTACTGATTTAATGACCGAGAAAAAAGGATGTAGCAATCCTGTCCATTCTCTAGTCTGTCTTAAACTGTTGTGAGAGGGAGTCACATGGGCATAGATTACCTGGTTTATTTTCAGCCCTAGACATAGTTTTTGAATTAACGTGTCACATGTGTATAATCCATTTTTATTGAGGCAAGAAGTGGGATTCCAAGCGCAAAAGGATTGACCAACTTTGTTTTTGCAAATGGACTAAGCTACACCAGGGTCAAAATACAAAAGTATTATTCTCCAAGGAAATGACTCGGTAGCAAAGGGATAAAGCTGAATGGACTGTGATACTAAATAAGGTCCTTCTAACTCCCCAGACAAATGTTCATAAGCATGCTTTTCTAATTATTGTAAAATCATGCTACTTTACAATCACTGTTTCTAACAGTTCTAAAAGTCTTTGTTTTTCTCCCCAATTCCTTCTCAACAAGCTGAAGATCTCTTGCAGTTCCACACTTTCAGACTTTCCATCCTGGCAGCTAATAGATAAACATAGTGCAAAGAATGGAGATGTGCTTCTGGACTCTTTTTAAATAATGCAGGGCCACAGAGTATGATCTGACCTTTTGGGAGCAACACTTGTGTGGTTTTCCCATTAAGAAGGGAGCAAACTATGTCAAGGGGTAAAAGTTAAAACTTGTGTATAAGCTGTTGGAATGTTGTAATCGGATTTGTGAAGGAGTTGACTGATTCTGCAGAAGCTGTGCCCATGCCAAGTTCTGTGCCCACTTGTGATATTTCTGAGAGACTGCTTTCGCATGAACTCAGAAAAATGACATAGAAAGTTATATTCAGCAATACACAGGTTCCGTACATGGTCTTAAATAGCAAGAACTGTTCGAAAGAATTGACAGTGGCTGCACAGTGTTTATTTAAAGTTAAATGTTTTTCAACAGTTTATCAACAGATCATGAAGAAACCATCAGCAATGTAATTTATTTACCATTCAAAGATCTCACCCTCATGCAATATTTGACCTATGGAGCAATATTTCTCAATTTTGTCAATAGATTACGTTACCTAGAAATTTCAGGTTGGGGAGGGGTGGAGGACGTTGCCCAAAACAATGAAGGGCAATGAATCTGCTTATTTCTGTTCATGGTACAACTTTGTTACTATCCCTGTATCAGTAATGTGTATATGTTAACAAGAACGTTCCAAAAAGAAATGACTTCAGATACTGTCAATGGTTCTCTCAGCTGGTATTACAAGCCTGTGCGACTATCACCAAAAATAGCTCTGTAGCACTAGATGGCAGTGTCATGGGTTACAGTGAGGTGATGCATTAAAGAGCTTTGGTGCATCCTATCTTAATACCGTAAGTAGATCAGGCCAGACACTGGAAAGTTAGAACGTGTCAAAAAAAAAACACACACACACGCGATAGGCAATGGAATTTCTCACTGGCATTTTGTATTAGACATGACTCTTTGCGCACAGCGATAAAGCAACATTTAAGTTTACCAGGCCATTCTAAATATATAATCTTTACTGGCCAGGCATGAACATCTGAAATAACCGCAGGTGGTTACAATCAACATTCGATAATCAAACAAAGTGAGGTTTATTTATTACACATCTGCAGTGTAAGTCCTCTTAAGTAGACGCGCTACTTAAGATGTGCAGCCAGTTATTCCAGAAATGCAGAGGCAGGGGGTTCATCCTCGCCTCCCAGTGCTAGAGTAGAGCGGAGACGTCAGCACTGCTCGGTGCAGTAAGTACTCATGTGACACACGATCAAACAGGCTTTCATAACCCGTGCTCGCAGGCTTCACGCAATGTATATTAGCATTTAATACTATATAAACAGCATTCGTATTTGTCAAGGTTTTCTTCGGCCTTGCCGGGGGGGAGATATGATTTTTGCAGACAAACGCAAAAATAAAAATCCCTTGCAGCGTTTTATAAATTACATGCAAGAAACTGCTCAAGTTTGTAACTATATAATCAGGAGCATTCGAGATGCTTGGCCCTATCCAGGATCTGGAAAAAAACAGTAATCAGTGTTATCGCGCCTTAGGAGGAGGACGGCGCGAGTTTGGGTAAGAAATAACGAGACAGCTCTAATATGTCACTCATTCTGAAGTGGTCCCAACCGGAGTTTGCTGCCGTCATCTGCCTTCCTCGAGATCATTACATGTGCATTAAATGTTAAGTAATTCCCCAAGTTACGCAACCTCTCACACTGTTTCCTGCTGAATCCATCTGTTTCACTGTTATACAAGAATCGGGAAGGAAGAAATAAATACATTTCTTCATCTGCCCTCATTCTCTAGGAACCTGACTTTAACACTGCCTGAAATAAAGCATCTAGGCGGAGTACAAGTTGCTGATTTTTATTTTGTTTTCTTCCCACCCCCACCACCTTTCTGATTCCCCTTCACGCTGCCTCTTCTGCAGGCGCACTTTGGAAAGCGATCGCGGGGCTCAGTGCAAAAAGGAGAATCGAGACGAGATTAATTGTAACTTGCAGCGCCCACGTGTCCGGAATGAATGAATGAAGCGATCCGAGGCAATTGACACTTGGAGGGATTTGCTACAACTGTAACCCGGCAACGAGCAGGTAACCAGGCAGCCAGGGCGCGAGCGGGCGCTCAGGTGCTGTCCCGGGTTCCGAGCACGTGAAGCCGGTGCCTGCGCTCCCTCTCCAACACAAACAGGACTTTGCAGAAAGAGAGAGGCAGACAGACAGTGAGAGCCGGCTAGCCGCTTCAAGACAGGGCAAAAGAAAAAAAAACACCCCCAACCCGGGCTGCGATTAATAACCGGCTCCACTCTCATGCAGGGAAAGGGAAGCGAAGCGCCGCTCCTTACCTGAGACTCCGCGTTTTCTGTCAGGTAGTTGAAGACGAATAAAGAGAAGTCCTCATCCGTTAGCGTGCAATCCGCCATCTTCCCGCGGTGTGTGTGTGTGAGAGAGTGAGTGACGGTCGCGGAGATCCCCAGAGCCGGCACAGTGAGCTCACTGCTGCTCCTCGGCCAGCCCTGTGGACGGCAGCGGTACTGCAAGTCGTCTGCTCTCTCGTTACACCAGAGGGTGGCAGTGTGCAAGTTAATGCGCTACTCATTGTGTACAAAATGACCCGCGTTACTTGCCGAAGAATGTAAACTTTTGTTTTGAACAACAAAAATAGAAGTTGCTGGAAAAGCTCAGCAGGTCTGACAGCATCTGTGAAAAAAAAATCAGAGTTAATGTTTCGGGTTCGGTGACCCTTCCTCAGAACTTGTTCCTCAGTTCTTTCGGTTTTTATTTTGTACGCATTATTTTTTCTCCCTGACATTTAGAAACTAGGGTGCTGTTAGTCCCGATGTTTCAAAGACGAGAGCATTCGGCATTCTAACCATCAGACTAGTTAGAATTTAGGGCAGAGTAGATTGCAGGATTGTCTGAAGGCAAAGGATATATCAGCAGATGTCTCCGCTTCACAGGAAAATGTCAATCTACAAAAGTAATTAGCTCCCTCACGCAAAACAGGATATATTAAATAAAATAACGAAAAGGGGGAGATTGGACGAAGCAGTGCTGTTACATAATTAACATTATAACAACACTATTAATATACAGAAGTGCCTCAAAACGCAATCAATGATCAAATATATCCTGGATCCGTAAAAGTTTTGAACATTATTGGACAGACTTTATTCATCTACAAGATCTAATGTTGCATGGTGAAAGGGTGCGCACGTCAATAAGTGCGAACAATCACAGAATGAACAAACACACCTTTTACACATTGCTACACTTTTATTCTTATTGTTGATTCAAACTTGCATGAAACGCACTGCTAAATTGACAAAGGGGGTGTGAAGGTCTGCTGCGGTGAGGAGAAAAGGTGTTACCACAGCAATCTACAGTCCAAGGAACTGCAATCTGTGCACCTCAGTTTTCATTATCTCAAAATCTGAATTAGAAAATAGGATTATCACACTAGGGGACTGCAATACTCAGACAAGCCATTTATCAATGCTGTTTTCACCAACAGAAAAGGTGCTTTTTGTGAGGACAGAATGGGTCAAAGATACATGCTTTGGGGATAGATTATCTATTTTACCAGCTGACGGGGTGGGAGGGAGAGATCTCAAAATTGTACAATTGCACATTTGTACAAACAGCCCCTTATCCTATTGTTATGTTTACTTTCATTATCACCTTCATCATCATTTGTTTTACATATAGTGCAGATCAAAACAGAGATCTACCAAAATATCAGGTTGATTAGTCCTATGTCCTTGCTGGGAAGATTACAATGAAATGAAAACAATGATAACAAATGCCACTACAACAACTAATTTCATATAGCATTTTTAACATGACGAAATATCCCAAGGTGCTTCATAGGATCATGATAAAAGCGTGTACAAGACTAAACAACCATGTGAGCAGATATGAAGTCAAATGACAAAAAACGTTGGTGAAAGAGGTTAAGAATTATCTTAAAGGTTTAAAGTTTTAGCAAAGATCTGTAGCTAGGGTTGTGGGTGAGGTTGTTGACTTGCTCACCAAGCTGGCTAGTTCTCGTGCAGACGTTTCATCACCATGCTAGGTAACATCAGCAATGAGGCCTCCGATGAAACAATGTTGTTCTACTCCGCTTGGAATTTATACTATTCGGTCAGTATAAATTTATACCAGACAGTATAAATTCCAAGCAGAGTGGAATAACATCACTTCATCGGAGGCCTCATTGATGATGTTACATAGCATGGTGACAAAGCGTCTGAATGAAAACAAGTCAACTCGGCAAGCAAGTCAACAAACCACGTCATCTGAAAGGAGAAAGTAGAACGTGCCAGAAGGGACTTCAAGAACTTGGGTCTAGGTAACAGATGTCACAGCCACGAATGGCAGAGCAATTGTGATGGGAATTCGTAAGAGACCAAGATTAGAGAAACATATATTCTTAAAAGAGTTGTTAGTTTGTTAAAGATTACTATGCTAAGGAAGGGCAAAGCCAAGGTGAGATTTGAAAACAAGGGTGAGAATGTTTGACTGAGAGCTAACAGAGGCAAACAAACACAAAGATTATGGAGGAAACAAGATGTACTGTGAGATAAGATATAGTCAGCAGAGAGGTCTTGGCTTTACAGAAGCAGAATATGGGATATTGCCAGGAGACTAATAGAATGGTCAAAGTCTGGACATAATGAAGACATGAGTGATTGAATGAATGAGAGTTTCAAGAGCAGATAAGCTGAAATGGGATGAAGTTGAGTGATTTTTTTTCATCCAAAACAGAAATGGCACAAGTCTGAGCTCAGAAGGTCATCTCAGTATAAAATATCATCAACTACCGTAAGAACTTAAGATGTAGGAGCAGAAGTAGGACATTCAACCCACCCAATCTGATCTGCCATTCAGTGACATTGTGGGTGAATTCCTCCTTTCTTCCTTTTTCCCGAAATCCCTTGATTCCCTTACTGATGAAGATAAAATCCCATTGAGTATTCTTAACGACCCAGCCTTGACAGTTGTCTGTGGCAAAGAATTCCACAAATTCACTACCCTCAGACAAGAAATTCCTCCTCATCTCTGTCCTAACTAGCTGACTCCTTACTCTGAGATGATGCCTTCTATTTCTAGACTCTCCTACAAGGGGATACAATCTTTCTACATCTATCCTGTCAAGATCACTGAAAACCTTAAATGTTTTAATAAGGTCCTTTTTCTAATCTACAATGAGTACAAGTTCAATCTACTCACTCTCCTTGCAGAAAATCCCTTCATACCTGGGATCAACCTGGTGAACCTCTTTAGACCACCTCCAAAGCCATTATATCTTTCCTTAAATAAGGGGACCAAAACTTTTCATAGTATTCTAGGTGTGGTCTTCCTAGCATCTTGCATAGTTTTAGCAAGACTTCCTATTTTTATATGTTTTTTTTAAATAAAGGCCAACATCCTATCTGCCTCCCCTATTACCACTGAATGTCTAAACTAGCTTTTGTGGTTTATGCACAAGAACGCCCAAATCTTTCTGTGCTGGAGTTTTCTGCAGCCTTTCTCCTTTTAAATAATATTCAGCTATTCTAGTCTTCCTGCCAAAGTAGATAATCACAAAATTTACATGACATTACAAGATTTTGTCCATTCACTTAACTGATCTATACCCCTCTGCAGACTCTGTGTCATTCTCACTACTTGCATTCCCACCTATTGCATCATCTGCAAATGTGAAGACAGTTATTCACTTTCCTCAGTCATCAATATTCCCTCTAATTTTTCTTTCGATGAAAGAACCTCTAAGGTGCAAAACAACACACCAGCTCAGTGAGCCAACCAACCTCAAGGTCCATGTGCAGCATTGATTCCTAAAACCAGAAGTCAGTGCTTTGGCATGCTGACCAGCATGTGCAGAACCTCAGAGTGGCTGTACAGTAGTGCACAGCTTAGAGGGAACAGTGCAAGTAATTAATATAGAAATTAATTATGGCCCCAGCACTCATTGCTGTAGCACTCCAGTTACAGGAAGCCATCCTGAAAATGCCCCCTTTATCCTAACTCTGTCTTCTGTTAGTTAGCCAAACCTCTATCCATGATAATATACTGCATCCAACACCAGTAGCTCTCATCTTGTTAAGTGGGCTTATATGCTGTATTTTATCTTTGGGTTTCCAAAAAGAGTTCAATATTACATCTTCTGGCTCCCCTATATCTATCCTGCTTGTTATCTCCTCTAAGAATTCCAGTGAATCTGTTATGCATAATGTAGCAAATGGATGGACTTAATTTCACCCTGTTGCCAAGGAGTGGAGTCAGTAGTTAGAGAACAGACTTTAGAGTGGTGACTGAAAACAATGGCTTCAGACTTTACTACATTTAATTCGAGGAAATTTCTGCTTATTCAGCACTGGTTGTTGAATGAACAGTCTGATAATTTACCCCCATAAAAACTTGTGATGTCCTCTGCTTCTGCTGCATTTTTACATGAAATTTCTTTGAAATAAATAAAGCTGACAAATAGTTCTTAACAGTTTCAGTAAGAAAATAATTAAATCTCTATAATTAATAATCATTCAATCAACAGTTATTTCCAGCATCCAATGTGCCTCCGAATGTCACACGTCTAAAGCTTCACATGTCTTCAGGATCAACTAAACCATGAATGGCTCAAATAAACTTTTTTTCAAATCTCAAATTGATTATCTGATGGAATACTTGTGAACGAACCAAAAACAGGAAGAAATCAATGAGGAATGATTAATGAGTGTTTGTAGCTTTCACTCTACTTATGCGTGACTACAATGGCTTGGATTTTCTGATTGGCAATTTAGCAATCTCTGTAGATTTCCCCTTTCCTAACAGCAGTGTAAATCTGGTGCCAAGCCAAATTGATCTCACTGTGTGCAGCAGTGGTGATGTCAGCAAGCAGGTTAAACAACACATGACTTTGAAGTATTCTCACTCGGCCGACCAGGAAGTTGAAAATACAGAGTCCTGCGATTTTTAATCTGGTGTTTCAGGGAGTGACATAGATAATTTATGAGCTGATTAAGATAGAAGCTAACATAAATATAAATAATATTTAAAAATTTATTTTAAAATTTATAGCCCTCTGGGTCAGAGATTTCCAAAGATCCTGAGTGGGAAAAAAACCTCCTCAGCTCAGTTTAGGTCCTTCTTCAGAGACTATTTTCTGGACTCCACTGCCCTCCTCCCAAACAGCGGAAACATCCTTTCCAAATCTACCCGTTAAATCAAGGAATAATTTTTCAATGAGGTCATCTCTTATTCTTCTCACCTGTAGAGAATATAGGTGCAGTATCCCCAGTCTCTCCTCATTGGACAAGCCCGCCATCCAGCGAATCAGTTTGTTGAACCTTTGCTGCACTCCCACTATGGCAAGTAAAGATATTTCAGGGCCAGTAAGGGTATTTTGTAGCAATTACAAAGACAGTGCAGCATT